ATTGTGGAAGTTGCTGTTCATTCTTGTGGAACACAAGAACAAAATAAATTATTGTTTATGCACATTGAAATGGTAGAAAAAGAACCCCTTTTTATATTACATGCTAATCTGTATAAGATTCTCTAGAACCATATGCTTTAGATCCTATTCTGTAGTAGAGAACCATACACTTAATCTACATATCTGAAATTAAGGGTCAGTAATTGTTGTCGTAATATACTAAAGTGCCACCTGCTGGTAGTGTAACATGTTCATAGATAATCACTTTAACCTTATCCTCAGCAGGTCACAGTGTGATATATGAAACACACGCACCATGCAGGAGTCACAAGCCCATTTTTCTCAGTGGCCGTGCAGAAAGTGAATGTATGTGCCTGTCCAATCTCTGCTGTCTCTTTTCTGCTGTGCTCTGGGGGCAAATGGAGGTGGTGAAGCAATGTCACTGGCCACCTCTCTGCTTTGGCTCAGCTGACCTCATCTCTGAGTGCTTCTGACCCTGTTTTTCCATCCTGTCAGGGACCTCGGGGTCAGACAAATGCAGTGTAACACGCACACACATGAATTTTTCACTGCCATATTTTCTCTGGGTAAATAATCAAGGCGAGAAGACCCGACAGCAGATGGCAGCTTATAAATCTTGGATTTAAAATAAATACACAGGACCAAGGAAACTATGCTTCACCACACCTTTCACCCACACCTGTGAGGCTTCCCCATACACGCATCTGTGCTTTGCGTGTCAGCCATATTTTCACAGTTTTTATGTGGCCAGTCTTACACATTTAATTATTATGCATTCTTGTTTGCAACATTTTCAAAAAGCAATACTGAAAATATTTCAACAGTCTTCAAATATCAAGAAATTAAAATTATTTGAGTTAGGAAATATATTTTCCTATTGCTAGAAAAATAAACAGTTAGGATAACAATATCGTGTTTTTCTGAATATATTAATATTGATTTATTTCTGACCATAATAGAACTATGCAAATGTGATTTCAACCAACACCTGAAGAGACTTTTTTTAATTCTTACCAATTTTTTTGAAACGTTTTGTTTACTTGTCAAGGCAATCTCACTGGACATGCAAAGTTAATGAGGTGGATGAGAGAGGTGTTATTTGAAATGCAGAGCATCTTATTAGAAAGTCTCTGGGTATAAGGGCCAGCAGCACAGAGGTGGTGAGCACCTGCCTTCTGCTGTCTTTAATAAAGCTTCCCTAACTCTCCCCTGCTCTGTCTATTATTTACTTTCTTTTAAATGATTCTTGTCCTTCATTGACAAAGATAAATGAAGGGATTAATATATATTGGACTAATCTGTGAGAAGGGTGGAAGAACATGAAGAAGCTGGGTAGCATTTCCCACAGGTAACTGCATGCAGGATTCTAGGATTAGAAGTCATTTGCTTTAAGGATTAACTGTGATCAGAAACCATTAGATGAGCTGAGTTTCCTTGTGCATAAAGGAGAGAAATGGCAAAGCCCTTTAATTGTCTGCTGCATATTAAACACGGAATGATGTCACAAGAAAAAAATGTAGACCCACCTTCTGCACTTCCTTCATAAATAGTTCAGCATTACTCAAAACTAGATTGTAGTCAGATATTTAGACTGGGCTACATAAAAAAAAAAAAATTAATCCATCTGCAGCTGTCAGTCAAATTGTATAACAGGCAGAAAGCATTTGTTAAAGTGGCATTCTGGCATCTATATACTGACATTCTTTTAGGCTACATTCTTTTAGGCTATTATTTGTGCAGTTCACTTCACAAATCAATCATAGCAAACTTAGCAATGCTGTCAGCCAGTTTTGCTATCAGGACGGAAGGATTCAATCACAATAAGTGAGTTATTATTTTTATTCTATGCTGGTTTATTACTTTAAAAAAATCAAATCTAAAATTAAAACATTTTAACAGTCAATTTTATAACAACTATTGCAACTATTTATGGCAATTTCACAACCACAACTATTATATTCTAACAATAGGTCTTAGAATCCCTTGCCAAAATTATTACTATATGATTTTAACATTGCAACAATGGAGCAATACAGTAAAAAAAGGTACTTTTTTTAAATCCTATTTTATGCTTTCAAATGCATAACGTAGCCTGAATGCAGTAGAGATCGTTTTAATTTTGGAGCACAAGCATTCATCTATATAGCTTGAATTTGAAATATTTTGGCATGTGGAACTTTTCCTTGTGAAACAGTGAGTCAGTGAAGTTGTTCAGAAAGCAATGCAAAAAAAAAGATGATTCAAAAAACATGATTCACATATAAATTTCATATGTGGTTTCTAGACACTTGTGTAACATGTTATGTTTAACACATTTTTTACATGTGGACTTTTCACATACAGTCCTTGTGCTTTTATTTTTTCACACGATTCATTTTTTATGTGTAAAATCTTTCATGCGATCACATATTATTCACATGTGTTTACTTGAATTCACATTTGCAATTTCAGGTCATAACATAGTGAAATGCACCTTCACATGTTTTTCACAATTGATCACATATTATTGACATAAGCATATGTGAAATATATGTGATTTTTCTGTGAGGATTCAAAGAACTGGTGGTCAACTGATGTACAAGACATATGCACATCCACGTTTACAGTTTTATTTTCCTGTTTTAAAAAACACTGGGAAGGTGCACTAGGTATGCTCAGAACATTTGTTCTTACTATATTTGCCACCTGCAATGCTTAAGCACTGGTACTGTAACCATATTTGAGCATATTTGGTGTTTGGAAGAGGCTGTTTAAGTGCATATTTCAAACCCATTCCAAGAAGTATACTCATATACCCAGTGTATGTGCCCTGATCTCTCATCATGAAATGTCTGGAAAATTAAAAGGACTTAATTGGGATTATATGTCACATAATATTGAAGTGGGGTGTAAAGTCTATATATTATTTAAAAATAAAATAAACATAAAAGTTGTGATTGTACAAGTATTCAAAAAAAGTTGTGTTGTGCAATTATTCACCCCTGTGAAACCTGTAAAATAGTTCTGTTATAACAGAACTAGCTGTTGCATCATAAGTCAAATAATTAGTAGAATGGAGTTGTGGAGTTCACTTGTGTCCTTTTTAAGTGTCCTGTGATATCAATATAAATACCTGTTCCTGGAAGGTCCCACAGTTTCTTAGAGAACATACTGAAACAAACACCATCATGAAGACCATGGATCAAAACTCTGGAACAAAGTTCTAGAAAAGTATGAATGGTTTTTAAAAAGATCTTAAATACGGAAGGTCCTGTGGAGCAACATTATCTCAATTATCCACTAGAGGAGGCCAGCCCAAAAAGTGAGTGACCAGGTAAGGAAGGAATTAGTCAGAGAAGCAACCCAGAGGCCAGTGAGATGGAGAGATCCACAGCCCAGATGAGGGGAGGATTTTCATCGGCAGGGACTGGGAAACAAGATGAACTTGACTAGATGGAGCCAAATACAGGGATATCCTAGAAAAACTCTGGTCCAGTCTGATACTTGAGACTAGGGCTGGGGTTCGCCTAACAACAGGACAACGACCCTAAGGATACTGTCAAAGTTTCACTGGACTGGTTCAAATCCAAGAACCTGAATGTGTTAGCATGTCCCGGTCAAAGTTCAGACCTCTGACTGAGAATCTGTCACAAGACTTAAAAATTGCTTCATCTAATCTGATAGCATTTGAGCAATATTACCAAAAAGAATGGGGGAAAATATCAGACGTCAAGATCTCATAAAGACGTATCCCAGATTTGCAGCTGTAATTGCAGCCAAAGGTGGTTCTAGTAAGTATTGGCTCGGGGGGGGGGGGGATGATGCAAAAAAAAGTCTTGTTTTATTTTTTTA